CTCTCACTCTTATCAAGAAAAAAAATTTTCAAAAAATATTACAATATTCTTTCTTTCAATATTCAAAAAATTTGAATAAATGAAAATAACCTTATTAAAAATTTGAAAAAATGAGAATAAAATTTGTAAAAATGAAATTAGTGTTTAAAAATGGGAATGATTTAAAATTTACAAAAATAAAAAATGAATTCACTAAAAATAAAAAATTTTGTAAATCATTTAAAAACTCACTGCGTCCAGTCTCAGCATAAGCCGATGTCCATCCAGGAGCCGCTACTCGTACAATGTCAGCTTTAGGCACTAAAAGAACACTCACTCGCGGTTTTAAAAATTTCGGAACACTCTTGAACTATTTCTTGGAAAATATCCAAATTTATAAAAAAAAATCCAATTTCTCCAAACTTATCCAAAAACATCCAGATGCATCCAAACGTATCCAAAAAAATCCAGAGTATCCAAAGGAATCCAAAAATATCCCACAGCGAGGTGTTGCACGGCCCGAGGTTCACTCACAACTGAAGAAATGTCTGTTCCTTCGTTACCTATTAACATTAATTGATTCTTAATGACTTTTTAATTACATTAAAATTTACACATTTTTCAAAAGATATAAAATTTTCGAAAATTTTCTAATAATTATTTCTACTTTTTGCTGTTAATAAATGGTTCATGTAGCACGTAATATTACAGAAATATTACAGAGTAATATAACAGTAACATTACAGTAATATAACAGTAACATTACATTAATTAAAAAAAAAATATTTGAAATTTAAAAATATGAAAATAAAATTCAAAATTTGATGGAATATAGTGTTTTAAAATTTACAAATATGAAAAAATGAATATTTAAGATTAGGAAAAATGAAAATAAAATTTAAACTTGGTTAAAATAAAAAATGAACTTGAAAAATGTTATGAAATAAAATGATTTGAAATTGGAAGAAATGAAAAAATTTTTGAAAATTAAAAAGAATAAAAATAAAATAATTTAATATTTAAAAAAAAGCAAAAGAAAATTGAAAAAAGGAAAATGAAAGTAATTAAAAAATTAAATGAATTTAAATTTAAAAAAATAAAATCACTGAAGATTAAAAAAAAAATTTTAAAGTTATAAATTTTAATTTAAAATTAAAAATTTTGTTTAACTTACCATCTTTTTGGAAAATATCCAAAAAAATCCAAATTCATCCAAAATTATCCAAAGTATCCAAACTTATCCAAAAACATCCAAACCTATCCACAGGAATCCAAATATATCCCACAGCGAGGTGTTGCACGGCCCGAGTTTCATTGACAACTGAAGAAAATTGTCCTGTCACTTAGTTGAGGATTAACGTTAATTGATTTTTAATGACATTTTAATTGCTTTAAAATTTACTCATTTTTCGAAAGAAATAAAATTTTCGCAAATTTTCTAACAATTATTTCTACTTTTTGCTGTTAATAAATGGTTATCATGTAACACGTAATATTACTGTAATATTACAGTAATGTAACAGTAACATTACAGTAATTAAAAATTTTTTTTTTTAATTCGAAAATACGAAAATATGAAAATAATTAAAATTTGTAATATTAAAAAGAAATAATAATAATACTGTTATTTTACTGTAATATTACTATAATATTACAGTAATATTACGTGCTACATAAACTATTTATTAACAGAAAAAAAGTATAAATAATTGATAGACAATTTACGAAAATTTCATTTCTTTCGAAAAATGAGTAAATTTTAAAGCAATTAAAATGTCATTAAAAATCAATTAACGTTAATCCTCAACTAAGTGACAGACAATTTTTTTCCGTTGTGAATGAACCTAGGGCAAATATTCAAATTAAAATGTCCTCCTGATGATAATATTACAGTAACATTACCGCGTAATATTACAGTAATATTTCTGTAATATTATGTTAGTAGTTGAAGACGGTCGAAGTCAGACATGATTTTTCTGTCCAAGTAGTAAAAATTAGATGTAGTCAGACAATAAATTTTAAATTCATGCGATTTAGCTTTAAGTGGAAGGAAATTAGTTTAGTCAGCCGATTGTTTATTTTTTTCAAGTAGTAAAAACAGATTTAGTCAGACTTTTTTTTGTTTTGGTTCAAGTAGTAAAAATAGGTTTAAGTAAGACAATAAATTCAGAATTTTTGGTATCAAGAAAAGACAAAAAGAAATTTAGTCAATCTTTTCTTCTTATATTTTGGTGCAAGTAGTAAAAATATATTTAGGGTAAGTGTACTAATTTCTGCGGTATTTTGGTCAAGACGTCTTTTAACTATAAAATATAATTTTTATATTGATCAAATTGAACTTATGTCTTATTAAATTTGTAGTTTGTGTTATTAAGATATGTTTACAATAAATAACATCTCTAAAATATAATTTATTTTAATAAATTTAATGAATTAAAAATAATATTCAATGCGTTTAATTCTGCGCGTTTGAGTCAGTTGCTGCGCATCAGTTGCTGCGCGAATTCAATTCCTGTGGGTCAGTTTCTGCGCATAATTTTGTGCTTATGTGTATAATACCGCAAACTACTATGAAATCAAAATGGGACAATGATTTTAATCAATGCTTAATTGAATAGAATATAAATTTATTAAAAATAAATATATATCATATATTAACAAAAGTAACAAATAATTTCTGAATTATCACATTTTTGAAACATTTAGTTAAAACTTAATAACAGAATTCTTCCTTAATTAATTTATGTATTTATTAAATTTTCTTTAGTTTTTCCTCCATAATCTTCATTTTTTCTTTCATTTTCATAATTTTTTCTTGCTCTTTTTCAAAATAGATAGTCTATTGTAACCAGTCTTAGTTGATTTTCTGAGGGCGCAGAAATTAAATCAAGCCCAAATTCTGTGTTAATTACTACTCTTAAAAATAAAATATAATAACAGACAAAAATAAAGTAAAGTTTAATTTTTCTTTTAAAACAAGGTTTTCTTTATCTAAAATCATCATAATAATAACCACTTTAAGTCTAAAAACAATAATAAAGCCTTTTTTATGTAGGTATTTTTGCACCGCCAGCAAAGTTAGCAATGAAAATAAATAGAACCTTGAACACGTCAACTTTTAATTAAAATAAAATACATAAATATTAAGTTTTGGTATATACTTCCTATATCTATTTTAAAACTTACATCGTTAAGTAATTTTTAAAAAAAATTTCAAAATTATTTGTGCCCTGAACAAATGTATTCACTTAAATTATTAAAATGCCGCAGAAACTGAAGCACCCGCAGGAATTGACGCACTTACCCTAGTCAGATACTTTTTTTTTTAAATTTAGTTCAAGTAGTAAAAATTTTAACCAAACAATAAATTTCAAATTCGTGCAATCAAGAATCAAGTAGTACATAATAAATTTAGTCAGTCACTTTTTTCAATTTTAGTTTAAGTAGTGTAAAATAGATTTAGTCAGACATTAAATTCCAAATTGGTTGCAATAAATAATTAATTGCTATTAACTAAAGAATTAAGAATAATTAAATAAAAAATAGATTGCCAGACAAATTTATATTTTGTTTCTAAGTAGTAAAAATATGATTTAATGTAACAACAAATTAATAATAGTTGTACTCTATTCTTAAGTAGTACAAAATTCGCTTGGTCAGACGTTTTTTTACTGTTTTCGAATCAAGTAGTAAATTTCAGGTTTAGTCAGACAAGATGACCTAAATTTATTTGAATAAGATTGTATGCACATAGCGTATGATACTTATCATTGTTAGACTACATATTTTTTAATTTGAATTTGTATTTAAAATTCGAATAATAGAACGCCTAAATAAATTCTTTTTTAGAAAATGCAGAGAGCTCTTGCGAGTTGTAAAAGCATATAACTATAACTATGCAGTTTAGAGTGTATGTTGTATATATATACATTTTCGCAACCACGTTTTCACAAGCTGAAACCAATTCCCTACACAACACACGAAAACTTTATATATGAAACTCACGCTGGCTTTTGCTGGTAATTTGAAGTTTCGTTCATTACACATGAAGTAAAATGAATGCTAAAATGAGCTTTTTGTGTTCGCAATTTTAGGTCACTGCTCATCGTAATTTCTTGAAAACTAAAAACCATTTTCAGGCCACTTGTTCCTACTTTTTTTTCTTCTCTTTATTTATGTCTTTGTTTGCGACGAAAAGTTAAAGTAGCAACATTAAAAATTTTTTTTTAAAAATTAAATTTCATATTAAAAAACAATTAAAAACTTTTTCTTATAAATATTTAAGTAGTACAAAATAGGTTTAGTCAGGCAATTTTTTTTACATTGTGTGCAAGTAGTAAAAATTAGTTTTAGTCGGACGATAAATTAATTATTAAAGTATTTTAAGTTTAAGTAGTATGTATTAAGTTTAGTCAGACAATTTTGAAAATAGTTGTTTAAGTAGTAAAAATCAGAATTAGTCAGACGGGAAATTAAAAAAATTTTCATTTAATTTTGAAGCAGTAAAAATCAGATTTTGAGGAAACATTAGAAATTGTAATAATTAGTTTAAGAAGTAAAACACCGTTTCATTCAGACAATTACATTTATGGTTTTAAGTAGTGAAAATCAGCTTTAGTCGGACAGTAAATTATGAATTTATGTATTTTAAGTTTAACTAATAGATATTAAGTTAGTGAGCCAATTTTTTAATATTTGTTCAAGTAGTAAAAATCAGGTTTAGTCAGACGAGAAATTAAAATATTTATAATTAAAGATTCAAGTAGTTCAAAGTGTGTTTAGTCAGGCAAATGTTATTTAATTTTTGCTGTAAGTAGTAAAAATCAAATTTAGTCTGACATTACAAATATTAAAAAAATAATTTATAAATATTTGATGAAAAAAATTATTTTTACAATAACGACAAAAAGCTACGAGAAAAAGTGTATATTTTCTTTTCCAAAAAGACATTACATAATATATTGGTATAAATACTAGAAAAAAAGTCATGACATAAAACTATATACAAAAATCGTGTAAAATCGTGTTAATTAAAAAGAGAAGTTTAACAGATTTCCTTTTTAAATGACACTTGTTACAAAAAGAGGGTAAAAAATCTAGTACAAAAATTGGTAAAAAAGAAAAGAAAACAAAAAATAGAATAAAGTGTCACGTTGAAATAAAATGTGGTCGGTCTGTTCGTTCATCCCATTGCGAAATTGGAGATCCAGTGAATTGCGACAATCTGTTGAATTAAATGGCAATTTTTGCTATATATACATTCTATATACACACACAGATGTTAAATTCTTTTCACATTTCGTCCTCTCCTTCTTCGCCTTCTGTCGAATCCATGCCAACCTCCTCATAGTCCTTTTCCAATGCTGCCAAATCCTCACGAGCTTCGTTAAATTCGGTTTCATCCATACTTTCAGCAACATACCTAAAAATATTTTATACAAAAATTATAAATAATCACATATAATAATATTGAATAGAATATATTAATATTCAGAAATTGATATGAAGACTTAAGTAGTACAAAATAAATTCGATCAGCCATTTTTTTTATTTTGGTTTCAGTAGTAAAAATAAATTCGATCAGCCTTTTTTTTTTATTTTGGTTTCAGTAGTAAAAATAAATTCAGTCAGACATTTTTTTTGTTTTTGTACAAGTAGTAAAACTATATTTAGTCAGACAGTAAATTTAAATTCAAGCTATTAAGAATTAAGTAGTAAAACCAGATTTGGTCAGACAATAAATTCTAAATTCGCATAATAAAGAATTAAGTAGTACAAACAGATTTAGTCAGACAAATTTATTTTTTAATCTTTGTTTTAAGTAGCAAAAATAGATTCAGTCAAACATTTTTTTTAATTTGGTTTAAGTAGTAAAAATAGATTTAGTCAGACAATAAATTCTAAATCCGCGCAATAAAGAATTAAGTAGTACAAAATAGGTTCTGTCAAACAAATTTATTTTTTAATCATAGTTTTAAGTAGTAAAAATAGAATTAGTCAGACAATTTTTTTAAAATTTTGTTAGATTAATTGATATTTTGTTAATTTTAATTTATTTTTTTTAAAATTGTTTTAAGTAGTAAAAATAGATTTAGTCAGACAATTAATTCTAAATTCGCGCAATAAAGAATTAAGTAGTACAAAATAGGTTCTGTCAGACAAATTTATTTTTTAATCTTTGTTTTAAGTAGTAAAGATAGATTTAGTCAGACAATAAATTCTAAATTCGCATAATAAAGAATTAAGTAGTACAAACAGATTTATTTTTTAATCTTTGTTTTAAGTAGTAAAAATAGATTTAGTCAGACAATTTTTTTAAAATTTTGTTTCAAGTAGTAAAAATAGATTTATTTAGACAATAAATTCTTAATTCGCGCAATAAAGAATTAAGTAGTACAAAATTGATTTAGTCAGACAAATTTATTTTTTAATCTTTGTTTTAAGTAGTAAAAATAGACTTAGTCAGACAATTTTTTTAAAATTTTGTTTTAAGTATTAAAAATAGATTTAGTCAGACAATAAATTCTAAATTAGCATAATAAATAATTAGTAGTACAAAATAGGTTCTGTCAGACAAATTTATTTTTTAATCTTTGTTTTAAGTAGTAAAAATAGATTTAGTCAGGCAATAAATTGATAATAATGGTACTTTAATCTTCAGTAGTACAAAATTTGTTTCGTCAGACTTTTTGTTACATTTTCGATTCAAATACTAAAATCTAATTTTAACGAGAAATAGATTTAGTTTGACAATTTTTTAAAAATTTTATTTTAAGTAGTAAAAATAGATTTAGTCAATATTTTCTAATATTATCTATCTTTTTTATTAATAATAAATAGTTTGTTATAAATACTATTATTATCAATATATTCTCAAATAAATGAAAAAAAATGTCAAATTAATTCCAAATAAATTTTCGAACATTAATTAGTTAATTTTCTCTGTATAGTAATTTAATAACGGAATAAATGTTATCAGTCCCTTAGTAAACTGTGTTCAATGAGCATAATTCCAGATTAGCATTAGACTCATTTCATCATCGAACTCTAATGAGCAATTATTTTACACCGTGTGCCAATATATATGTATGTATACAGTCATTTGTATTTGATTTTCTATCACTTGTATTCCACTTTGATCATGTATATAATTACTGAATGAATTAATACCATTGAGTGGGATTTCATATAAATTTAAATTATTTTAAAAAAATACAAATAATAATGCTTTTTACTGGTAAATATATTTTTAATGAATTTAAGTTTAATACTTATATTCACATAATGCATGTAAAAAAATTAAACATTAATAAGAAATGTTTTGTCCAAACAATGGAAAAAAATATTATTATTATTTATTATATTTCTGATAGAAAATTAAATATTTCGCCGATTCGATAATTATCAGTAAATTATCAGTAGTACTAGTCAATATTGGTCAGACAATAAATTAGGTAAATTATGTAACAGGTTCAGTCTGTCATGGAACTAAATTTTTTTTCTAATTTTCAGTTAGACAAATATCAAATGGTTTCTTATTATTTTGTATTAAGTAGTAAGAGGAATATTTAGTCAGACATTTTTATTCAGTATAAAAGAAACTTTTGTCAAATGGAGATTATGAAATTTTTCTAATTTTAGTTGAGATAAATAAATACAGATTAGAAAATTAAAAAATTTTTTCATGAAGTCTTGTAAATAATACATGTCAGTAGTAGATGACAGTTGTAGTCAGACATGAGTTACGAATTTAATTAATTTTTCTTCAAAAATGAAAAATCGGATAAGTGTGAGGTAAACTCGCACTAAAATAAAAAAATAATTAATAAATTAAAAATAAATTTTTTGTACAAATAAAAAAATACTTATAATAAATAATTAAAATTATTGAATTGTGCATATTTTGAGTAGGGCAAAGAATCATTTTTGCATGTAAAAAAAATAATACTGAAAATGACTCTTATTTACAACTTTTTAATGTTCACATTGCAATTATAAAATAAATAATAAGAAAAAACAATACAATTTACCAGTGTACGAATGCTCGTTTTGAAAACATAAGATCAAATTTTCTGTTTAATCGGGTCCAGGCATCCATGATAGCTGTTGTATTTGCAAGCATTGCCATTGCTCGTTGGACTTTTGCCAAATCTCCTCCAGGTACAACAGTCGGGGGTTGATAATTAATCCCAACCTGCGGAATTAATTAAAATACTTTAAAATTCAATTACGAACAAAAATAATAAAAGTCGGTATAATAATAAAAATAATAATACAAATAATAATAAAAATTCGTGCAATCGAGATTTAAGTAGTACAAAATAAATTTAGTCAGCCATTTCTTTTTATATTTTTGTTTAAGTAGTAAAAATAGATTTAGTCAGACATAAAATTAAAAATTCGTGTAATCATGACTTAAGTAGAACGAAATAAATTTAGTCAGACATATTTTTTTTGGTTTTGATTCAAGTAGTATAAAATAAATTTTATCAGACAATAAATTCAAAATTCGTACAATCAATATTTAAGTACAAAATAAATTCAGTCACCAACATTTTTTAATCTTGGTTCAAGTAGTAAAAATAGATTAGGTCAGACAATAAATTCTAAATTTTTTCTATCAAACTTTAAGTAGTATAAAATAAATGTTGTCAGACAATAAATTCAAAATTCGTTCAATCAAGATTTAAGTAGTACAAAATAAATTTAGTCAGTCTATTTTTTTTTAATTTGGTTCAAGTAGTTAAAACAGATATTTAGTCAAACAAAAAATTTAAAATTCGTGCAGTAAAGAATTAAGTAGTAAAAATTCTAAAAATACTAAAAATACTAAAAATACTGAAAATATTAAAAATACTAAAAAATATTAAAAATACTAAAAACACTAAAAATATTGAAAATACTGAAAATAATCTTAATGAAGAATGGAATAAGAAAAGTAAACACCTTGAAACCCGTAGGACACCAATCGACAAATTGAATTGCACGTTTAGTCTTGATTGTTGCAATTGAAGCGTTAACATCCTTTGGAACAACATCACCTCTATAAAGTAAACAGCACGCCATGTACTTGCCTTTTCTTGGATCACATTTTACCATCTGATTAGCAGTCTCAAAGCAGGCTGATGTCATTTCCATTACTGTTAATTGTTCATGATTTGCCTTTTCACACGAGACAATTGGCGCGTAAGTTGCAAGTGGAAAGTGAATTCTCGGATAGGGGACCAAGTTTGTTTGAAATTCAGTCAAATCAACATTCAATGCACCGTCAAATCTGTATATTAATAGAAAAAAAACTTTTAGAAACAACATTTAGATATAAAAATTATCTTTAATAAGTAAAGTGTTGATAATTTTTCATAATTTTTTATTTTTTACCAAAAGGTGGAGACTATTAAATAAGTAAAGTATTTTTTAAGAGCACAAAAATAATTAGGCTAAATGCCATAAAAAAGAAGAAAAAATGTTTAATTTTAAGAAATTCGGTTTTTTGCATTTTTGCCAATTTTCCATAAATTTAGATTTTTTACCAAAGGGTGGAGACTATTAAATAAGTAAAGTGGCTTTAAAGAGCACAAAAATAATGAAGCTAAATGTCATAAAAAAGAAAGAAAAATGTTGAATTTTAAGAAATTCGGATTTTCGAATTTTTGATAATTTTTGATAATTTTTTATTTTTTACCAAAGGGTGGAGACTGTTAAATAAGTAAAGTATTTTTGAAGAGCACAAAAATAATTAAGCTAAATCCCATAAAAAAGGAGAAAAAATGTTGAATTTTAAGAAATTCGGTTTTTCGAATTTTTGATAATTTTTGATAATTTTTTATTTTTTACCAAAGGGTGGAGACTATTAAATATGTAAAGTATTTTTGAAAAGCACAAAAATAATAAAGCTAAATGTCATAAAAAAGAAAGAAAAATGTTGAATTTTAAGAAATTCGGGTTTTCGAATTTTTTATAATTTTTGATAATTTTTTATTTTTTACAAAAGGGTGGAGACTATTAAATAAGTAAAGTGTTTTTAAAGAGCACAAAAATAATGAAGCTAAATGCTATAAAAAAGGAGAAAAAATGTTGAATTTTAAGAAATTCGGGTTTTCGAATTTTTGATAATTTTTTATTTTTTACCAAAGGGTGGAGACTATTAATTAAGTAAAGTATTTTTGAAGAGCACAAAAATAATGAAGCTAAATCCCATAAAAAAGGAGAAAATATGTTGAATTTTAAAAAATTCGGTTTATCGAATTTTTGATAATTTTTTGATAATTTTTTATTTTTTACCAAAGGGTGAAGACTATTAAATATGTAAAGTATTTTTGAAGAGCACAAAAATAATGAAGCTAAATCCCATAAAAAAGGAGAAAAAATGTTGAATTTTAAGAAATTCGGTTTTTCGAATTTTTGATAGTTTTTGATAATTTTTTATTTTTTACCAAAGGGTGGAGACTATTAAATAAGTAAAGTATTTTTGAAGAGCACAAAAATATAGAAGCTAAATCCCATAAAAAAGGAGAAAAAATGTTGAATTTTAAGAAATTCGGGTTTTCGAATTTTTGATAATTTTTGATAATTTTTTATTTTTTACCAAAGGGTGGAGACTATTAGATAAGTAAAGTATTTTTGAAGAGCACAAAAATAATAAAGCTAAATGCTATAAAAAAGGAGAAAAAATGTTGAATTTTAAGAAATTCGGGTTTTCGAATTTTTGATAATTTTTGATAATTTTTTATTTTTTACCAAAGGGTGGAGACTATTAGATAAGTAAAGTATTTTTGAAGAGCACAAAAATAATAAAGCTAAATGCTATAAAAAAGGAGAAAAAATGTTGAATTTTAAGAAATTCGGGTTTTCGAATTTTTTATAATTTTTGATAATTTTTTATTTTTTACCAAAGGGTGGAGACTATTAAATAAGTAAAGTATTTTTGAAGAGCACAAAAATAATAAAACTAAATGTCATAAAAAAGAAAGAAAAATGTTGAATTTTAAGAAATTCGGTTTTTCGAATTTTTGATAATTTTTGATAATTTTTTATTTTTTACCAAAGGGTGGAGACTATTAAATAAGTAAAGTATTTTTGAAGAGCACAAAAATAATGAAGCTAAATGTCATAAATAAGGAGAAAAAATGTTAAATTTTAAGAAATTCGGTTTTTTCGAAATTCTTATTATTCAATTTTAAGTAGTGCAAAACAGTTTTAGTCAGCTAAAATATTTTTAATTTCTGTTTCAATAGTATAAGTCAATTTAAGATCAGACAAGAAGTGCTAAATTTTTGTAATTTACATTCAAGTAGTATAAAAAAATTTTAATGAGAGAATCTAATTTTAATTACTATTTAAGTAGTAAAGATCAATTCTAGTCAGACTCTACCTTCAAAATTTTTTATTATTCAGTTTTAAGTGGTGCAAAACAGTTTTAGTAAGACAAAATATTTTTAATTTCTGTTTCAGTAGTATAAGTCAGTGTAATATCAGACAAGATGTGCTAAATTTTTGTAATTTACATTCAAGTAGTATAAAAAAAGTTTTAAGAGACAATTTAATTTTTATTACTATTTAAGTAGTAACGATAAATTCTAGTCAGACTCGACATGCAAAATTCTTGTGATTCATTTTTAAATAGTACAAAACAATATAGCTAATCAAAATATTTTCAATTTAATTTTCAGTAGTAACAGTCAATTTAAAATCAGTCAGGACGTTCAAAATTCTAGTAATTTACGATCAGGTAGTACAAAATAATTTTAATGAGTTTATTTTTAATTTAACTAATTTTAATTATTGTTTAAGTAGTAAAAATCAGTTCTAGTCAGACACTAAGTGCCAAATTCTTATTATTCACCTTAAAGTAGTATAAAATAGCATTAGTCAGATATAAATACAATTAAAAGAAATTAAATTTAAAAAAATGATTTTAAGCATTTAATTTAAAAAAATTTACTAAAATATTTCAAATTGAAAAAATAACTAAAAACATTTGAATTAAAAAAATTCATTAAGAAAATGGAAACATAAAATTTAAAAAAAAATGTTTTTTGAAAATTTAAAGAAAAATTGCAAATAATCTTAAATACCTTAACGATGCAGTAATTGAAGAGACAATTTGTCCAATTAATCGATTTAAATTTGTATAAGTTGGCCTTTCAATATCCAAATTTCTTCGGCAAATATCGTAGATGGCCTCATTATCAACGAGAAATGCACAATCAGAATGCTCGAGTGTCGTGTGTGTGGTGAGTATTGCATTATAAGGTTCAACAACTGCCGTTGATATTTGAGGCGATGGATAAATGGCAAATTCCAATTTTGCCTTTTTCCCATAGTCAACTGAGAGACGTTCCATTAGCAATGACGTCAAACCAGAACCAGTGCCACCGCCAAATGCATGAAATATGAGAAAACCCTGTAGACCATTACACATGTCTGCACTTTTTCGTATTCTATCCAATACCAAATCAATCATTTCCTTTCCCAACGTATAATGTCCACGGGCATAATTATTCGCCGCGTCCTCTTTACCCGATATCAATTGTTCCGGATGAAATAATTTGTTGTACGTTCCTGTTCTCACTTCGTCTTTAAAAATAAAAAAATTATTTTTTTTTATTTAATTTATTATTTTTATATTTATTTATTCTATTGTTTATTCTATTATTCTATTGTTAAAAGATTTTTTGTCTTTTAGGGACTTAATTTTTTTTTTAATTTAAAAACGAGAATTTTTTTTGTTTTCGTACTAGTAGTAAAAATTTATTTATCTAGACAATAAATTTTAAATTCGAGCAATCAAGAATTAAGTAGTAAAAATTGATTTAGTCAAACAATAAAATTAGAATTTTCGAAATCAAGATTTAAGTAGTATAAAATAAATTTTATCAGACAATAAATTGAAAATTTGTACAGTCAATATTTAAGTACAAAATAAATGCAGTCATTAACTTTTTTTAAATTTTGGTTTAAGTAGTGAAAACAGATTTAGTCAGACAATAAATTTTAAATTTTTACTATTTTTACTTTAAGTAGTATAAAATATTGTTAGACAATAAATTCAAAAATTCGTGCAAATACAGATTTAAGTAGTACAAAATAGATTTAGTCAGACAATAAATTCTTAATTTTTGCTATCAAATTTTAAGTAGTGTAAAATAAATATTGTCAGACAATAAATTTAAAAATTCGTGAAAATACAGATTTAAGTAGTACAAAATAGATTTAGTCAGACAATAAATTCTGAATTTTTGCTATCAAACTTTAAGTATTATAAAATAAATATTGTCAGACAATAAATTCAAAAAATTCGTGCAAATACAGATTTAAGTAGTACAAAATAGATTTAGTCAGACAATAAATTCTGAATTTTTGCTAACAAGCTTTAAGTAGTAGAAATAAAAATATTGAAAATAATAATTATTGAATTTTTATAAAGTAATAAAAAAATAAAATCAAAATCAGAAATAAAGAATAAACAACAATGAATAGTTGAGAATTTGAAAACATAAATTTGAAATATTATGTAGGGAAATTTTATAAAAAAATTTTGATTAGGTCTTTTCTTTTTTTTTAGAAAAAGTGAATTGAACCGATAACAGTTGGTTCGAGATCGAGAAAAACAGCTCTGGGGACATATTTTCCGCCTCCAGTTTCACTGAAAAATGTTTGAAATCCTTCATCATTTGTGCAAGAATCGGAAGGAAGCATGCCATCCGGTTGAATTCCATGTTCCAGGCAATACAATTCCCAGCATGCATTGCCTATTTGCACTCCTCCTTGGCCAATATGAACAGAAAGGACTTCGCGCTGTCAATTTCAAAAATTTTCTCATTATAAAATCGTCTATTTATATATATATATATATATCTAAACACATACTATATATTAGTTCTACATTCTAAATAATTCAAAATTAAAAAAAAAAATTTTTTCCATCTAAATATATTTTGAAATATATTGAATCGATATTTGAATAAAAATTTTGATTTTAAAAATATGAATTTAAAAAATTAAATTATTGAATTAATATTTTATATTAAATATTAATTAATTGAATTATTAACATTGACTATAAAATAATATAAAAATTCGTTCATTATTTATAATTTGTTAAATTATTCAAAATTTAAATTAAAAAAAATTTTTAAAAACTTTGTTTTCAAAAATATGAATTTAAAAATTAAATTATTGAATTAATAATATTTTCTATTAGATATGAATTAATTAAATTATTAACACTAACTATACAGTAATACAAAAATTCTTTCTTGTATTAATTATTGAATTATTATTATAGTTATTTACTTAGTTTTTTATTAATTTATTTTGAAATGGAAAGAAAAAAAATTAATATTTGTAAAGAAATCCAGGAGCGAAAGTGAAAATTTACTAATAAAGTAATTAATCAAAATAATTATTAAATTTTAATTAGCATTAGTTATTTTTGAATAAAAGAAAAAAATTTTGCTAGAAGAAAATTCGAAAAAATATAGGAGCGGATTTTACTTTGAATAAAAGTAAAATAAAAAATAATTTTTTATTAATTAATTAATTATATTATTTTTTAAACTAGATACAAATTTCAAAAATTATTAAATTAATATTTATAGTTATTTCTGCAATAGGAATACAGTTACACTAAAAGAATATTAAAGGCAAAAAATACAGGAACGAAAGTGACAATTATGTTTGTGATTTACATGAGGCGGGAATTTTTTTTATAAAAAAAAATAAAGCTACATGAAAAATATTTCTTTTACTCACCATTTTTAAAACAGGAGGGGTATTTATTTATAATTTTGGAAAAATTAGGACGAACGAACGACGTTAAAAAAAATTACAAAAACCTAACATCACCTAACATTGACACTTTAAAAAAATGACTAAAACAACAATCTTTTGTTTCCATGGATACGCATTATTTTCGATTTTAATGCAAAAAATTAATGTTGGAACTGAATATTATTAAATTGTAGGTATTAATTGTTAATTTAAAAATACGTTAATGTTGTTAAATATTAAAATTATTAAATTAATAAAATAAAATTATAAATTTAGAAAAAAAGTTACGAAACAAAATAAAGTAGACAAAATTATTTCAAAATATTAAATTATATTAAATTGATAATTTATACAATTTAATAAATTATACAAATAAGAAAAAGAAATAAAGACAAATTTAATAATTTTTTATTGAAATAAGGAAATAAAAAAAGCAAAAGGAATAAAAACAAAATTTTATAATTTATTTTTTCTTGTTTATATTAAAATGAAGAAATACAAAATTTTAAATTAAATTTCTAAATATTATTTCTTTTCAAATATAACAAAAAACTGTTTGCAATTTTTTTTTTGTCAAAAAATAATAGTTCTTTAAAAAAAATTAGCTGTAAAAAAAGTAAAGATTAAGTACAATTAAAATGAATAAAATATTAAAATTTTATTTTTTTTTTGGAAAAACGACTCCAAAAATGAATTTTAGGAAAAATGCTTCTCACTAATAGATTTCTTGTCAAGCAGTAGAGAGCAACGGGTTGCATATACTGCAGGATTTTCAGTCTTATCCCTGTCGGTAAATCTGATATCTCACATACTGCAGTCTATAGGCAACTCTATAGACTCAACTGTATTTTTAAAAGACTATAAAAAGGAATACGGATTTTTTGAATTTTTTCCGTGAGAAAATTCTATTAGGTATTTTGAATTCCTTCTTTTTAATAAATAATTTTTTTAAAAATAATAATGAATATTTATAATAAATAAAGATCGTAATTTGCAATTTTCTCCTTCTATCCTTATGACACTTTTTTTTAATACTTCTTGTAGGTATAAAAGAGACGCATGGCAAGATAAAGACCTTAAGCCCATAAGCCGATGTTCAAACACATCTAAGCTGAAAAATATCAAAAGGAACACTATCTTTCCGCCCTCATTCTAAAGTTGACGATTACAACTTTTTGTTTTATTTTTTCGTTTTTTTTTCCTTTATATTGTATACAGAGAGAAAATTAGAATCTTGATTCACGAATATTGGAGAAATTTTTTCAATTCATTAATTATTATGAATTTTTTTTTAGATTTTATTTTATGTTTAAATAAAGTTTTGAAAACAGTTTCTAACAAAACGAGGTGTCTTATTTATTAATTTTACAAAATCTTAGCCTTGTTTTTTATGTATATATTTTCTTAACAAATAAAGTTTCATTAAATACAAATTATTTTTTTATATATAAATTTTGTTTTAAATAAATTTTTGTTAAAAAAATTTTTGTTTCAAATATACATTTTGGTTCAAATAAATTTTGCTACAAATAAATTTTGGTTCAAGTAATTTTCGATTCAAATACATTTTCATTCAAATAAATTTTGGTTCAAGAAATTTTGATTCAAATACATTTTGGTTCAAATAAATTTTTCTTCGAGTAGAGACTATTTCTTTCAAATGAACTTTGGTTTAAATAAGTTTTTAGAAAAATAATTTTTGACTTAAATAAATTTAATAAATTTTTTATAAAAATAATTTTTGACTCAAATAAATAATTTTGTTTTTCAATTTGAAAATTTCTAAAGTAAAATTGAATTAGTTTTCGTTAAAATTGAAGAGAGAGATCGGATGAGAGATTATTTTGCGACTGATAGACACAGTTTGGTAATTTTCGTTTCTCTCATTGATGTAGTTTAAAACTCGTATATGCAGCATTTTGATATCATATCAGGTACTTTGGATCTGTTTGGCACGACACGCCATTTCCGCGTTCTCGTTTGTTGTGTATATATATACCGTCTTTTTCACACTAAAATGCCATTTTAACTTTCAAGCCTTCACATGCACTATACTCCTCCAACATTTTCTTTCTCTCGTTCTCTCATTTTTTTACCCCCTCCTCCTCCTCCTCCTGCTTCCTATTTTGTGGCAAGTGCAAAGCGTTCATTTTCCACCACAACTTATTGTGTTACTTATACCCTTTTTACATTACACCGCACACTTTTTCTCCAGGAAGAACAAAAGTCCGAGAAAAAAAGTATGTAGTGAATTTTTTTTGTTTTTTTTTTGCTTCTGTTCCTAATTTTATTTATATTATAAAAAAAAGGTTTAAATATTGTAAATAAAAATTAATTTCTCTTATAGTAACAAATTTGATTCAAATAACCGATTTCTTGTCTATTACCGCAAATAAATATTTATTTGAATTAAATAATTTTTACTAAAATTAAATGGTATTAAAATATTAAATACATTATTAAATATTAAAATACTGAAATTATTTATTTATTTATTTATTTATAAGCGGAACAAGCTAAAGAATAACCGGAATTTTTAGCGGAACCAATAAAGATTGGTTTAATTACTAAAATAAATTACTGGTTAAAATACAATTTATTAGATTAAAAAATATTTATTCACAGGGTTGCCACAGGTCAGGAAAAAGTCAGGGAAAGTAGAATTGGTCAGGGAAATCAGGGAAAAGTCAAGAATTTTTAGTAAAAGTGCTGGAAAAAATTTAATTTTCAAAATCCATAAGAATAGAAGAATATTAGTTAAAAATACTAAAAAAAATGAACTTTGGAAAAGTTTCAAATGTTTGCAGAAATTCAATTATTTTCAAAAGTAATAAAATTTTATTCTTCGCAGAAATTCAATTCTGTTCAAAAATGTTTAAAATATTTACCTCAAAATTTCAAGTCTCGTTATAAATAATTAAATTCTTCTCCGAAATTTTCAATTATTTTCAAAAAATTTAATAAAATTCTTGGAAAAATTTTAATTATTTTCAAAAATTTTCCTGAATTCAATAATGATTTTCAATATCTACTATTTTAGTTAAATTTCCCATAAGAATTCAATTATTTAGAAAAAATTTGAATAAAATTCTACGCAATCATTTAATTAATTTCGCATAAATAATAAAAAATTTCACAGGAAAATCCAATTATTTGCAAATTTTTTATAAATTTCTCCGCAATAATTCAATTACTTTTATAAATAAAATTTTTTATATGAATTCAATTATTTTTATAAATAATAAAACTCATCGCAGAATTTCAATTATTTTTAAAACAATTTTATTTTCAATTCTATTGAAATTAGTTGAATTTTTTAATATGTATATTTCATCCTATAATTTTCAAAATTTTAACGCAATTCTTAGAAAGAAAATCAATTATCTTAATAAATATCAAAATTCTTCACAGAAATCCAAATTTTTTGGGGAATTTTAGTAAAATTCTTTGCAAAATTCAATTATATTTCCCTAAACTAAAATATTAATCAATAGAATAAATTTATTTTCAAAAGTAATAAATTTTTTTTCAGAAATTCAATTATTTTCAAAAATTCAGAAAAGATTGTCGTCATGATTTTAATTATTTTTATAAACAGCAAAATTCTTCGCCGACATTCAATTATTTAACAAATTTTTATTAAAATTCTACGCAAGCATTTAATTATTTTCATAAATAATAAAAATTATCCAGGATTTTAATTAATTAGAAATTTTTTATAAATTTCTTCGCAATAATTCAATTGTTTCTATAAATAATTCAGGAATTTAATTATTTTCATAAATAATAAAACTCATCGCAGGATTTTAATTATTTTTAGAACAATTTTAATCAAATTCCTTGAAAAATGTGATCATTCTTAAAAATTTTATTAAAATCCGTCAAAAGAATCCAATTTTAACAAATATTTAATTATTCAATAAATTATTTATTTTTGAATTTAAATAATTGAATTTTCGTAGAATTTTATTACATTTTTTAAATAATTGAATTCTTTTGAGAAATTTTACTACTTGTAAAAATAATTAAATTCTTGCGAAGGATTTTATTAGGATTTTTGTAAATAATTTAATTTTTTTTTTATAAATAAAATAAAATTTTATATAGAATAGAATATTTTGTAGAATAGAAATGAATAAAAAATGAGAAATACGTGGAAAAATTAAAAATAGTTTGAGAAGTATAAAATTAAATAAAACAATGAAAGAATAAAAGTTTCAGAAAAAGAAAGATTCGATAGGAAGAATTAAAGTGACGAATTGCTTTCATTACTCTTCGGGATATTGAATTTTATTTTTTTTATTTCTATTTTAAAGACGAACAACTCAGAAATCACGTTCTTTATGTACTCTTCTTTTTTTTCTTGGAAATTCTTATATAAAATAATCTTTCGAAAAGATATCTGCTTCTTCTCTAAAAATAACAATCGAAAAGGTTAAAGACACTTTTTTTACGCGATTCTTTCCAAAAATAATTCTTTCTTCGTTTTTATTTTTAGGTGAAAATATAAATATTTCATTATAATAATACATACGTCTGAAAAATTGTAGAGATTTAAATATAAATTGATTTTTAAATTAATTAGTTTTTATTTGTATTTCATTTATTGCTTATTTTTATTTTTTATTTTTATATTTTTTTCTTTATTCTCACAATTTTTCTATTTATTTTCTATTTATTTTTATGGGAATATTTTAAATTTACCATTTATGAATTTTACATTATTCTACCGTTTTTATTCTCGAATTGATCTTTTTTCTTGGATTTCTTGGCATTAAAAGCTTTTCTGATTTTTCAAAAATGTCGAACTGACGAATCACCTGGCAAAATTTGCTGATTCATCAAGTCAGCGAGTTATCAATCTTCTTCTACAACTTCACTCGCACTACTGTATCCTCCTTTCGAAAATTTTTCTTTTTTTGTGATTTTCCACAAATCGTTCTTGCAAAATCATTTTTCTTCATCACTCTTTCTTTTAATTTCACAAAAACTTACTTTTCTTTTAAATTAATTCATAATTTTTTAATTCTTATATTTTTTAAAAATGCCTAAAAACTATAAAAAAAAATTAATTAATTAAAAAAAGAAAATGAGCCAAGAATCAAATAATTTAGAAAAAAAACTCAAAAGAACTGAAGAAATAATAATAATAATTAATTCGAAAGGTAAAAAATAATAAATACATTTATAAGTCATGTAAAAAAAGAAAAATAAGCCAAGATGAATTTATAGAAAAAAAGCTCAAAACAAAAACAGAAAAAAAGAAGAATATCGGTGAAAAAAAATATACAAAAAAAAAAGAAAATAAATAAAAGAAGAGAAAAAAAAATGTAAAGCTTTTCGGTGAGAATTTCTTCTCTCGATTCATATTCGTGAACGTGACTTTATGTCTTTGTGCATCTTTTGCCTATGCCCATTTAAAAATGAAGAGATGCACATCCAGATTTTTCCCGATTTTCGGAGCGGAGGTTTCACTATTTAGAAAAAAAAGAGAAGCAAAAAAAAAAAAAAAAAAAAGATGTCTTTGTTATACTGTAAAGCAGGATGTGGGTCAGTAATCATCACTAGTCTCTTATACACTGTCTCTGTTTCCTTCTTCCTCTCTCGTATACAAACAGACACACAAACACCTACACGAATATTATACCACGTCCGTTTGTTTCCACAATTTTCTCTCTTTCTCTCACTCTCTTCTGTTCGCTTCCGCGAATCTTTGGCCACTCTGCTGGTTATTACTTTTCAACGACCCCATTTTTTTTGCCTGTTCTTTTTTTTTCTTTTTTTCCGCACAAACCAAAATTGTGAACACTCTCAAGTGTAACCAAAAATGTACCAGATGCTAAATGTGCGCAACAATATCTTTTTGATATACTTTTGTAGAATTGAAGAGAAAAAAAAATGTTTTTATTTATTTATTTTTTTTTTATTTATTTATTTAGTATTTAATTTTCGTGAGATCAATTATTGATAATTAACGGAACTTATAATTATTTCCATTATTATTGAAACCGATTGTTTATTTTCTTTGTTTGTTGTTTTCTTGTTTCTAATTTTTTGGTTTTTTATTTATTTTGTTTTTATTTTACTTTGTTTCTTATTATTTTTGTTTTTTAATTTTTATTTATTTTGCATTTTATTTTAATTTTAATTTTTTGGATATTCTTTTTTTTATTTTCTTTGTTTTTTTTGATTTTTATTTATTTTGTTTTTTATTTTCTTCTTTGTTTTATTTTTGTTGGTTTTTAATTTTTTTTATTTCTTTTGGGTTTTATAATTTTTATTTTCTTTGCTTTAATTTTTTTTGATTACCATTTACTTTTTTTTTGTTTCTTCGTTTTCAAAATTCTTTGAGTTTTATATTTTTCTTTGCTTCTTATTTTTTGGATTTTTTATTTCCTTTGCTTTTTCGGCTTTTTATTTATTTTGTTTTTTAAATTGTTTTATTTGTTTCGGTTTTTAATTTGTTTTTTGTTTTTTATTTCTTTTATTGAATTTCTTGTTTTTCTTTTTTTTTTTGGTTTTTTATTGATTTTGCTTTTTATTTTCTTTGTTTTTTATTTCTTTTGGGTTTTATAATTTTTATTTTCTTTGCTTTAATTTTTTTTATTATCATTTATTTTTTTTTTATTTCTTTGTTTTCAAAATTTTTTGGGTTTTATATTTTTCTTTGGTTCTTATTTTTTGGATTTTCTGTTTTTTATTTTCTTTGTTTTTTTGGATTTTTATATATTTTGTTTTTTGTTTTCTTCTTTGTTTTATTTTTTGGGTTTTTAATTTTATTTTTGTTTCATATTCCTTTTATTACATTTTTTGTTTTTTATTTTTTTGGTTTTTTTCGGTTTTTTATTTACTTTGCTTTTTATATTCTTTATTTTTTATGGGTTTTCTAATTTAAATTTTCTTTGTTTTTTTTTCTCTTGCTTATCATTTAGTTTTTTTAATTTCTTCGTTTTTAAAATTTTTTTCGGTTTTATATTTTTCTTTGCTTTTTATTTTTTGCTTTTTTATTTATTTTGTTCTTATTTTCTTTGTTTTTAAATTCTTTTTTAGGTTTTCTATTCTTTGTTTTTTATATTTTTGGGTTTCTACTTTTTTCTATTTTTTATTTTCCTTCGTTTTTTACCTATTTTTTTTTGTTTTTTCTACAATA